AAGAGAGGGAGGAGATATATATGTGAGAAAGGAAGACGGAGAGAGAAATACACAGAAGGAGGGTGGTCGTGTCCGAGGGGTGGCATCGGCGTTGCCCCGAGGTGCGACTCGTCCATACCTGTGCGTTTAAATACGTGTCAGGGAATATACCCCCGCGAACCGGCCGGCTGTACAAACGCACCCCAACGATGCGTGTACCGTAACCGGCCGGTTGGGAAGAAGAGAGAAAAGAGGGGCGCGGCGGGGTTTCGACGGGGATAACAGAGAGGTCCAATCAGATAGATGAGGCACGCGGGGCAGAGGGGTGCACACACGGCCAGAGAAGGGAGACACATAGGGAGAATTGCGTTCCACTGTTCCACCGTTCCACACAGTGTTATTAAACGAAATATTGATTCAACCCCTGTTTACCGAGTAATACATATTCATGGGGGTTGGCGCTTATGTCTATTTGCCTCCGTCGGTCCCTTCAGCCTTTGGCCCCCCGTCACCCTCTCAGCCCTCTATCCCTGACTATCTCTCTTCTATTTATGTTTCGTTCTCTACGTCCCTCCAACAAGCTTGATCTCTACCCTCCATCTCCATCTGGCTGACTCTTTGTTCCGCTCCCCTCCCCCTGTCTTACTCTATTTAGCGTTTCCACCCTGTGATAGAATAGGGAACCCTCCTTGTGTCACCCCGCGCATCAGGTTCCACCCATGCTCTATGTTAGAGCCACGGGGCGAGGAGTCGCGGTGCATGTGCACGTGTCGCACACCCGGCTTCACCTTGTACCCTACTATTCGGTGCCCGGAGTGCACGCACTGATTATGTCCCCACATGCCGATGACGCGTATTACGCAACTGCAGATTGCGGTACGTGTCACGACCTAGATCGGACGATTTGTAGCGGCCAGGACTGAGCGTACGCTCGTTAAATCGAGGACACGCGACGGGAGTGTGGTTCCCGATGTACCGATCGGAGGGTACATTTCTTGATACCCGTGTATATTATTTGCTTTAATTACTATTTTTATGTCCTAGCAGTCATTCCTGAAGTATTACATAATCGAGTCAATCGTTTAATCGAAATAACTCAGCGAAATCAAAAATAAAAGGATTCAATGAAAGAATCCATCAAATGTGTCGGTACTAAAATTGGGGAACACTGGGAGGTAACAATTGGTCACATTGATCCATGATCGAATGAATGATTAAAACCTTTGATTGTAAAACAAATACTAGAAAAATCTATAACGTTTATGTACTCATAATGAATGAAACGATATTATACTCCTGAACACTAACGAACTCATATTTACTAACGGTCACTCGAAGCTGGTTTATTAAGGTCTTAACTCCATCCCGAACAGAAACAAACGAAACATGTGAAGTTACAGTGATGCCTGAATATCAATAGGGGTAACATTTCGACTAAGAATAATCGAAGCACGCCTGTAACCCAATGACGAGCATCGCACCTTTGTTTAACCCTCGGCATCGAGGAATTATTCAAGTCGCACCTACAGGAACCAACTCGGAACTCAATTATACGCGTCGCGGCCGACGAATGCCAATTTTACCCTGGCAACCGTGCCAGTGACGTGGACTGTGGCCGCCTATAAGTATGAGGAAAACGTTTTCCGCCGGAAGTCCATCGTAGGAGACACACGGCTGGGGTGAAGAGAGGATGTGCCTGTCTCGTGACGATACAGCGCTCAACGTCTGTTTCGGAAGTCTGTTATGCAAACGAAATTTTGCTTGGCGATTGATACAACACAATGAAAAAATACATCAGATAGTTCCTTGATGCCTGGTAATTGACTATGCACAGTCCACTTCAAATTACCCGTGGAATCGATCGTTGCGTAAAAGAACAACAAACATGATAGACAACTCGTCAATCAATTTTTTGTAAATCATGTTTTAAAGATGCGTCGACATTTAATTTTTTCAAATAATGGATTCCATTAAAGATCGAGTGAAGCAACGAGTGTATTAGAACAGAGAAATGGATAGCAAATGAGATGTAAAGTGGTAAGGTGTCAAGGAAATTGTTAGACCATTTAATTGCGAGATGTTGGAGTGATTTAAGCGTATTTATCACGTAATTTCTTTACGTTAAAGATTCCTATCGGAATAAATCTATATCACTTTGAGTGAGGCTAGTAGATCCTTGAAGGAGATATATGGAGTTAATAAAACCGGGACTAGCATAAGAAATTGGCAAATGACTTGCAGCAGTATCTGTATTACTAGAGACTATCGGAGTTATTATATGTATGATGTAAAAAACACAAATAAATTTAATTAAATTAATCAAGGTATGGACACTTACCCCTATTATTGAGTTTAGCTCCGTCATGGTGATCTGTTTAGCTCTGTCGACAGCGGTTGCAACTTGCTGTTGGTGCTCTTGAGATAGAAATGGCAGGATTTGGTGAATGATGGCATTCAGTCTCTTTGAAATTTCAGCCTGAAAATGAAAAGACCATTGTTCAATATTTTTTTTCAAAAATGTACACTTAAAAAAAGATCAGGTTTCTTAAATATATTAAAGACTACACTGAACTCTAGAATTATACACAAAAATCCTGTTTATCAACCAATTCACCCTTATGCATTCAATAAGCTTTCGATATAATTATTAGATTGAAAGTCTGCATTTCTTTCTGGAAAAATATTGACCAAAGATACGAGTAAATCATAATGAAAAAGAATGGTTGAATATAGTAAATAAGCAACGAAATAAAGCAAAAGATCTTAACAATTCATTGAGTTGAAAATAACTTAAATCAATTTATTAAACTTTCTTTGATGATTTTCTCTTACTACACTCACAGATACGTAAAATATGGAAGCTATAAATAGCAAATAAAAAATAAACGAGCCAAGCGTCCCTCTATCCTCTGGTGAATGTGAAGCGAGGACAAAAATGAATTGGAAAAGTTTGTCAAAATAAATATTCATTGAAATGAACGTCGCAAACAACCATTTAAACACTTCCTCCAATCGTCATTTCTACCTCGAATAATAGCTTGCCTATTTCTACCCACGACTGCCATTCCAGGGTTAACACGGTGGGTGATCGGTCAACGCGTGAGAGCCGCGTAGTAAAACGTTTCGTTAACAAAGTGCGCAACAGAGGGAAAAAGATTTTATTTCGTTTTCGAACTGCGCACATGCCTCCCAGCTGGTTGGAATCGAAAATATTTTCGGCCCCTTTTCGTGAGCGAAATATTTAAGCGTGAACACTTTTAACGAACGACCGGCTAAAATTAGATGGTAGAAAGAAGCTGAACACGGTAGTCGGTTAAATTACTTTTAAACGTATTTCCATTTATCACCCGTGTGCTTATGTTTCGTCTGGCAGGGTCGAGTAATTGTTGCGTAATTAATGGTTATACTGCTGACGCATAAAGGTCGAACAACCTACAACTGTAATCAATTTTTTAAATTACTATTGTTAGTCACAACTCTTAAGAATATTGTAATCATACTTGTTACTTCTAACCGAAAAATCAAACGATTTGTAAAAATAAAATCCGCATGTTTAATTGTTTCTCATTTTCCTTATTTTATACTGATTCTTTAACCCTTTCGTTATAGAACAGCTCAATGTAAAAATACTCTGTCTACTCATTAAAACACATTTGCTTCAAAGCGGTTATATGAATAATTTATAAACGTCAATATAAATATAAACAAATTCTTCTGGACCCATATATGCGCCCATAGTACTCAGAAGATTAACCCTTTGAACTCTGTAAGCTCCGATATTGCACCAGGAATAATATTAGATATTTTAATAAATCTTAAAGAAACTACACTACAATTATTAGATTTTTCACACATCCAAATTTTGCACTAAGAAGGAAAATAAAAGATCTAAGAAATGTTATAACATTTTTCATTTTTGCTAGGGATACTATAAAAATTAGTTGCAGTTGCTGATAGATTACAAAACCATCTTGAGTGCTAAGGGTTAAAACGCGTTACCTAGCTTAATCGCTAACCCATTTTTAATTAAAATACACTCTCCGCTAGCAGTAAAGCATCGTTAACTGGAATGTGCATAATTAACATAAATTGATTTTACACAATCCTTCCTGTTTTAATGAAGTAAAACTAAATACACATTTCTGAAGTCTTCTTTAAACGGTTACTTGTACGAATAATAAACAATCTGATCCGTGCTAAATCAAATACTTTGTTTCTTAATTTTCCTTGACGGCCGCATGTTAGTAACCGAAGCCAAATTCAAGGGAAAACCGAGTTATATTAACTCCGCCCCGCCAATCAGGGGTCGCCGGGTTTTATTCGCGGGAAGATCGTCAGCCCGCGGATCACAGGAAAGCGCATCGGTCTGGTGAACGCGAGAACTTTTCGTCGGGTGCGGAGTAACGGCTGGCAAGCAAATTGCAGCGCGGAAAATATTGCACCGCGGCGTCGAAACAAAATACACAAGCTCAGAAAATCCCCAGGCAGCGGCAAACGACGACGGCCCACGACGACGACGACGACGACGACGACGACGACGACGACGACGACGAAATCCCCGTATTTCTAGCGGTGGATTCTCGTCAACGCGGCGCGTCTCTATTTTTGTTGCACCTCGTAAGAATCCCGGAGCGGCGCGGAAATAAGTGACGCGAACGGACATAAGGTGGATGATTAACGAGACACGGAGGGATAAAGCGGTGCTACGGCTACGTTCCACCGGTTTAACGAGCGATCTCGAAAAGGTTTCCGTCCTCCGCTAGAGAATCGCGGAAACGACGCGACGCGACGAGATGCGACGAGATGCGACGAGATGCGACGAGATGCGAGGCGAACAGCTTTCGCGGCCGATGTATTTTCGAGCTCGCCTGCGCGAATAATACACACGAAAATGTTTACGAGACGGCGGATTTCGCCGCGTGAGAGGATTTTCCTCTGCGCTAGCAACGCTACGCGCCGTTGATTCTTACCGCTTGATCCATTAGGCAAATAGCGACGATACCCAGAAAACAAATACCGATTTTGATGAACATTTGTGTATTTGCCGAGTGAGCGCGCGAATGTATTCGATACTCGGTTTGTTTGTCAGGGCATAATTAGATTCAAGAAATGAAATTCGTATAATCAAAGTCTGGAACGAATTACGACACAGTTATATGAATGTTTCTGAGTGAAATAGAGACAAAGGAAGTAAACAGGACCAAGAGACGTTAGTCTGATCGTGATAGAGTAGATGGACTTCAGTCAGACCAGTTGGAAACTGAGAGTCTCTATTCAGTTGAATCAACTCGAAATCTGGAAACGCGAATTGAACTCCGCGTAGTCAACTAAATTTTTGTAACCGTTGAAGTTTAAATATTTAATAAATTGTAGTTAATATGTAGTTTGACTTAAAAGAGCCCAGAAACTGGGAATCCGAAGATACATCGATATATCGTATAAATGGGCTACACGGTTGAGACCTACAGATTTAAGAAACCAAAAGTCAACACGACTCAAGGCAAATGGGAGCTGAAGGTTCCTAAAATTTCTTCCTGGTCCGAGTTTCTGGATCTACTATCTCATTGACTAGAGTCTAGATCTAGATCTCTTCTAACTTGAATTCTGGCTCAGTTCAAATCACGTCAAATATTTCAGTATTAATTGAGTTTGATCCAAATCTGTCGATCCTATTTCTGGGAGTGATCCAAATCGTATGTTTGGCGAGTTAAAACAATAATATGTTACACCGCTGAGATATTCAATAAAGTAGGGACATTCATATGTCAAAGCACTGAAAAGGAATATTCGCCAAACTTAATCAAGAAATGGGTTCCTTTACGAAGAATTTTCTTCTACGATGAATTTTGTATTTAAGCTACTTTAGTTTCCAACTATTCATACAAATAAATGATGAATAGAGTAGAAACCGAAGAAATATTATCTCACGAATGATCTAGTAGCGAATTCAGGATTGCCACGAAGTTGGGATTGTTTGATTTTCACATTTTACGACTTGAAGCCAGTGTTTTGAAATCCCTTCATCCAAGACACATTCCACGCGATCATCTCAGGCCTCAGTTTCCATGATTAATATTTCTTCACCCGGTCGAATATCTCAAATTTCTCACTCTTCTTCGAGCCAATCCTAAACGCGGAAAACCCACGCTGTCCCGAGGAATCACTGTTGACTGCTGTACATATTGCATACAGCGGCTACCGGTTTATCGAACAGACGAAGCGGCTTCTCGGAACAGCGTTTCTCGGCGGCGTCGAAAGTGCCAGCTCTTTTGCGGCCGTGGATTTTCTCGAAGTCTCATTCCGTGTCGGCGAGTCATCGTGGCAAATGTTTATTCGTCCGTGTACACGGGACAAACTTATACTCTCTTAATGACTTCGGCAAACACGCGACGTTAACCGACGCGCGTCTCGCGATGAGCCAAGAAAGAGTGTTGAACGAGACGAATGGAGGAGGAGGACGAGGGAAATTGCACGCGAGCTCGGAGGGAGAGAAGACGAACGCGTTCACGGACCGCGATCCTATCGTCGTTCGTGAACGACGACTGTCTCGCACGAAAATTGGCGGAACAATGTTACTCAACGTGAGAGACAGCTGCGGCGTTCTACGTCTGAACAGGCTTTGAAACTTACCTGTTTGTGCATCTCCACGTTTAGGCCGTAGGACATCTCGTAATACTGCAACAGAGAAATTAAACTTTGTTAGAGTGGAAATATGGGTACAAGTTGGAGGGCAAAATTGCTACACGTGAGGCTATAGTCATGTTAGCTAAAGTGTAGAACAGGTAGATAGTTTCACGTACGCGAATATCATGCAGAACCGAAGCTACTTGGAAACTTTACATCATGGAGAAAATTTAATGAACAATAAAATCCGTAGAAAGATCCTTTAACAAATAATTTTGTACATTCTACAAGCTTGAAAGCTTAAAGCATACATAACATTAGGTTCTAATGTAACAACTTTAATTCTAAGTGTACATCTTCTACATGACTGTAAAGAGGTACAAAGTAAAACTAATTGTTTCACAGATCTAACGAAACAGAATGTGTTCGAAGACTGAGCGTTTGGAAATGGAAGAAACGACGAATCCCAAAATTAAAGCACCAACTCCTCCTTTCAATCGTCATCGGCTCATCGTCGCCGTGGCAAGACAGAAACTTCAACTACCTGACGCGCAATGTCTTTCATCGACTATCAACGGGCCCGGTCGTTAGCGAGACCACGGAGATGCGGTTATAATTGCGGTAAACGATCATTTTACCGAAGGGACCGTTTTGTAGCGTCATTACTTAACAGTCAACTCTCCGGGACTCCGTCACTGGTCATTTAACATCGCGGCGCGTTCTCGAGCGTTGCTTTACCGCCGGCAATTTACCATCATTTGCCAGATTTGTCCGTGTCTTGCTTCGTTATTTCGTGCCTTTTTTTCTTTCTGTCCGGTCCTACCGTCGTCGCCGCCGACGCCGCCTTCTTGCCTCCGCCGCGTCATTAACATTCCAACTACCATTAATCTCAGGAACGAGGTGCCTCCGCCACCGCCACCACCGCCATCACCATCGCTGCCACTGCCGTTGTACGCGGGGTCTCAACCTATACCCACCCTTCGCACGCAGTTCTGCACTTTCCGCGGTAACGCGTTATTAATTATCGTTAATCGCGATAAAGTTAATCGAGTCTGGTCGAGTACACTCCAGAGAGACGGAGGCTGGGGTAGGAGGCTCTGGCGGCGCGCAACGCACTGGAGGGAGAGAACGGACGAAAGGAGACCAGACACGGCTGAAGAGAAAACGGCCGCGTGGGGTTGGAGGGCGGAGTCCAAAGAGGGTTCGGCTAGGGACGGTGAAGAAGGAACAGGAAGGGTAGTAGAACGCGTGCAACACGCTCGAGTCAGGTACAGGTTCTTAATTTTACGGGCCATTAGCCCCGTAATTACACGAGCGAATTAATTGCGTCGTAAGTAAGTTATTCCACCCGTGGGAGGAGGGGTTAGAAGCGAGCCAACAACGGGGAGAACGAGGGGGGAAAGAGGCGGGCGAGACTGAGGCGGCGGAGGAAGAAGAAGAGGAGGAAGACAAGAAGGACAGAAAGAAGAAGAAGGAAGAGAGAAGATGGAGGGCAACGGAGGCGAAGAGGGTAGGAGGCAGAGGTTGTTAAGATCAACTGTACCAGCAGGAACCGGCAGCGACGATCACCAACACCGGCAACAGAATCAGCAGCAGAAGCGGCAGCAAGCAGCGGCGGCAACGGCAAGCAACCCTTAGCAGTAGCGCACTCTGGACCAACTTCCGCGACTCATTATGGCTTGCACAACAAATTAACGTGGCGGGCCTCGACCCCACTGCACCAGCGTCCTTAACGTGGCGCTTGTTAATGAACTCGACAAAGAGAACGAGAAAAAGCACGCGATCTCCCTCGATTCACCACCAGCATCGCTACCACTGCCTCCTTCTTCTCCTTCCTCTTCTATTTCCCCTCTTCATTCTTCTCTTGCTTCTCTTCTTTGCTCCGCCTTGACTCTGACACCCCACCGCGATGTACTCTGTACACGTCGTTTAAGCGAGTTAAC